AGTAATCATGTCATGTATGACCGCGGTGCATGATTTCTAAGAGTAATCATGTCAAGTTCGCGCGCTTTGTGTTGCGTGCCGTCAATGAAGAAGCAAAAAAATGACTTACTTTTTTTACATTCAATGTATAATAAAATAATTATTAGATTCGGTTTTTGTGATTTCCAGAATAATCAAGGTCTCGGTATTGATTATTCTGGATATCACAAGAACCCTCATCCAATAATTGTTTAAAATTTGTGATTTCCCCTACCCTATTTATGACCTGACCAAAAACTCGATACCCTATTTATGGCCATTGCAGCTGGCATAGTGGCATAGAGCTTTTGCTGATGGTCTTGTCGATAATAATGAAAAAGTAGCTTCTTCTTAAAAAAACACACTTAATTCAAGACCAGAGTGCAAAACCACACCCTATTTCTGACCAAAATGGCCAAAATCGATAGCCTATTTATGACTAAAACGGCTGAAAACCATACTCTTTGGGGCCGCACATACCCATATAAGGGAGCACCTTCTCCGCCCGCACCCCCTCCCCCCCGGGAGTGTACTAACAGTTTTGACTGTAATCTTGTGTGCAGCTACGGTCTCCCGACGCAGCTACGTTCATCAGAGAACTCATTCTTAAAACGGGAGCTCACCATCATCCTTGTTGGTTTCACTTCTCTCTCCTCGGTACTGAGAGACGCAAAGCAGCTCCCAAAGGGATCATAGAGGGAAAGGCCGACAGAAAGCAACGGGTGAAAGGATTTGTTTGTTTGTTTGTCTTTTAGTTCTTTTCATTTGCTTATATCTTTTTGTCCATTTGTTTGTTTGTCTCTTAAATTGTTTGTCCGTTTGTTTGTTTGTTTGTGCGAAACAGAGAAAGCGCTTTATCGCATGGCCTTTCTTCCCCTCGCGTTTTCTTTTGCGTTACGCTGTATTGACAATGGAAAAGAGCAGTTTCTAACCGCGTGAGACTTTCCTATTTTATAATATATGCGAACCCGAGGTTCGGTTTGCCAAAAATTGGACCCAGTCCTGAAAGCATCACCCAACGAACGCGACATTCAATGCGCTGAATTTCTTTGCAGTGAACCCAGGACGCCATTATATGAACACCGGAGATGAAACCCTCGGGGAGAGGGGCAAAGACCGAGATTCGTCGCCTGCGCATGCGGCAGGCGTTAAACGGTGGCGGGGCAGGCAAAGCGCCTTCTTCCTCGCGTTTTTTGCCTCCCTGTCCCTACCCCGTTTACGCCTGCAACGCAAGCTAAGGTTTGAATGTGCGCTGGCCATCCACATTTTCACAATTTGTTACTTATTAATTTTTGCATATATTACTCATTGCGACATTTGGCCCATGTGATATCGGGTGACATCGAAATCTTTGGGACAGAAAATTGCCATTCTTTGCCAAAGTCTTATTTTATTTCTTATTGTACATGTGCAATATCTTATGTACTGTTGATAACAAGCTGGAGTTGTTTTGCTGAGCTTTAGGCATGGTATATTTATATATCATGGCGACAGTGACTAAGTGTGAACCTTCGGCCAGAGTTCGGGAAAAGAACGGGCCGAAGACTAGGTTAGTTTGGCAGCGCATGCTTTGAATGATAAATGAACCGCCAAATTTAAATTATGGCATAACTTTGCTTCATTGTTACATGTATTTGGCGAGGGTTTGCAGCGATGGTGGCATGGCAGAATGACTTCAAATGTTTTGTGTTTTTATTCTTTTCGTTTCCTTCGCTTGGTGCGTGACGGTAACTACAGCGGGAGATCATTTTCAGGGGGACAATAGTGAATGCAAACGAGAAACTCAGATCAGTCGACAGAATTTTCCCTCGTTTACCGTGTGAGATCAGCAAGTAAGTAAAATTATTAATATTTAATTATATTTTGGAGCAGTCTATTTCCGAAATTGAATAATATAAGGATAACACAGAAACCTAATGTCTTGCTTTGAGGGCGATGTATTTAATTTCCTGATGATATGCATCCCCTTTGCATAGGAGATCTGTAGACCCTGTGTGAAGTGTGTTGAGGCGCGCGAGTGGGGCGGAGGGGGGGAGGGACTGCAGCGGCCGTTTGAAGTGTAGTCAGTAGGGAGAACGACATCGGGGGGTTCTAAATATCGCAACACCGCAAAAAAAACTAACGAACACCGCATCACCGCAAGAAAAGTCAACGAAACACCGTCACCGCCACACGTATTTTTTGCGCTGTGATTCGTTCATCTACACTTTAAATAATACTTTTATAACTCAACAATTTTCCACAAAATAAACACATTGTTTCTGTCCTCGCTCCTCCACGTGTCTACCGAACACTGAGCTCCGGGTGGTAGAGGTCGAGTTACTTGTCAAGTTACGTATAAATGAAAACAACTTCGGATTGGCAGCCGAAGGATATTGAAGATTGAGTAGAAAGTGATGGTCTTTACTTTTTACTGAAAAAATTATTTACCTCAATGGTACGTGTTTGTCATAAATTAGCATCGATTAACGAAGTTTACATGCTAAATTTAGGTCAGATTTAGGTTTGAGAAAGGTAGATCAAAAAATCCCAGCACCGCAAACAATTTCATTTCACCGAACACCGCAGACTGAAAAACACAAACATTGCACACCGTAGGGTTTGAGATCACCGCAACACCGCAAGTTGAGATTTTATTCACCGCATCACCGCATTAAAAGAATATCAACACCGCAACACCGCAAATCCCCATGTCCCCCTCAGTAGTAGGGGGTTTGGAGAAAGGAATGCCGCCAAGGGGCTTGATACGTTGACCCTGCGAAAGCAATTTTAATAGAAAACCTCAGAAGAACTTCGTGAGTAGGATAACACCCTTTATTCCGGGATCGAGTCTAGGACAAAGGACTGCGTGGAATAACAGGACGGTGACAATTCTAACTCTTCCTTGTTTAGGACAGGTTCAGAAGAGGCCAAAACTATTGGATCAGTCTCTCTGTTTGCTCTAAAATCAAGAACACGGAACGAAAAATTACGATATTCGAGGGGCGTGCAGGAAAGGCGCGAGCAGCAGCGTCATGCTTCGCGTGTTGCGTTACTCGCCCCTGGATTATAGTGTTCGTTCTCTTAGTTCTTGTCTTCCCCCTTGATTTTAGACATTTTAGGGCAAAACCCATATTCTGCCAGTTGGTATGTCCTCGTATAATGCTTCCCCACTCTTACCCGAGATATATATACAAATTTTCTGTACTGTCTAACTAATTTCGTTTCTGATTAACTTTATTAAGTTCAATCAAACCTGTGCGTGTTGAGAATTGTCCCGGTTGTTGTAAACTGAACGGTAAAACATTCAAGTGGTACGAAAGCGAATGAGAGGAATAGTAGCATATAGATTCGTGTGATTAGAAAGCTCATCGACCATCGAAGCTAATTAGATGCAGCTTGTCCTGTTTTACAGTATCGAGTTAGTAAAGCTGCTTGTGGTAACAGAAGGCTGGCGAGAAATTCGAAGACATGCCAGGACAAAAATACAAAGGCAAGTCAAGTTCAAACTCCTTAGCGTAATGTAGATATTTAGTCATCGTTTGGGTTTAGGTGTAGTGCCTGTAAAACGATATTGTTTTCTCTAACAGTGATTGGTTTATGTCTAGACTCAGAAGCATATCACCTTCTGCTAGACTGTATAGCTTCTTCCGGTTGTCATGTCGCTCTATTCCCTTTCGAGTCGTTGTTTTTTATAAATCTTCCCATTTATGTTGTTCTCCGGAAATCTCAGTAGCAAATGTACAATGCTTAAAGAAAGGAAAATCGGAGCGATAAACGGTCGCCTCTCGGTTACAATCCTATGCATCGTCCGGGGCCAGTCAATACCCAGTATGAGCGACTCTCTTATGGCAATCCGTTGGGGCTGTCTGCAATGAACCAGCATCCCAAATGTGGGGGTAGGGGGTGACGGGGGAATCCCCCTTGGTGGTAAGCATACGGAAATCGCTGGACTCGATTGTCAACTAGGTTTCGAATAAGTGGTGATTTTTCACCGTCTGATCGACATATGGCTGGTTTTTTCAAACTCCCGCTCACTTTAAATGATAGATAGAATACTTCCTAAAGATTCAAATATCATCAATGCCGTTAAAACAGGCGAGATATCAGTGAACTTAACAGCCCCTACGGCTGTGCGTACAGGTCTCTGCTTATATCAACAAATTACAGTCTTGGACGCGGTTTAATTAATTTCGATTGATCTACCATCCAAAGTGAATTCAACAGTTGGGTTTATTTCACGCATTTTCTCAGTTTGAGTAAGAATCGTTTCAGTTCAGAGCCACCTTAAATTTTCGAAAATTTAAGGTGGCTCTGAACCTCACCTACAGAATGTTTTTAAACTATTCCAAAAATTCCATCTTATCTCGCTTATGAAAGTGTTGATAATTTGAAAAAAATTTCACCGTACCGTTTTTGAATTAAAACGGCCCCTAAAGCTGTATCTAAGGGTGTTTTTAGCAGGTCATGCTGTTGCTATGGTAACCTATTGTGTTACGAAAATGATAACAACGTGTTCACCAATGGTTGGGCAGTTTTTTGATACATGATTGTAGCATCAAGTGATAAAGAGTGGTTATAACGACCCATCAAAATCTAAGTGCTCCCGAAGTGCTGGAAACTGTTTCGAGCCTCCTTAACATATTTTATTTTTTGCTAAGTTGTTGTCCATGTGAACTAGATCGAATGATGTCTATTTCGTATCCGGGGGGGTATTCCGAGCAAAATTGGGTAGGGGTGTGCGGCCCGTTTCCCAAAATCGCGATTTTCGATACTCTATTTATGACCTGACCCAAAATCTATATCCTGTTTCAGACCTGTCTTATACTTAGTTCCCTAGTTCAGACCGATGTTAAAGGCATTATGAAGGGCCTTTGTTGGTCGGTCTTATCGATAGTGGTATAAAAGTAGCTTCTTCTAAAAAAAAAATGCCTTATTCAAGACTAGAGTACAAAAATCAGACCCTATTAATGATCAAAATGTCCAAACCTGATACTCTATCTTGACCAAAACGGCTGAAAAACGATCATATCCCTATTATCTGACGGGCCCGTTTCTCTGGAGTACCCAGTGTCTAAACACAACACTATTTTGCGCCAATGCCCTAGCCTGATACGACCCGTGAAAGCCTTACAAATAGCGGGGAGCATAGTTGCGGTTGGAATGGATTAGTCTGTTTCGTAAAATGGGAATCACTGGCGATGTTGAAACCCATGTATTCCTTTTTCTTTTAGTGGGAAAGATTTTTCGCTACACCACCAAAGGCGTTACAGGGTTTGGCGAATTTTCAAGGTATAAACTTAAATGCGTTTTAAAGAGTTGTTTGTTACGAACACACTGTGCTCTCCATCCGACCGATTTTGGCTAATTTCTCCTGGCAATTTTGTAATTACTTCGTGTTGCAAAAAAGTACTTTTTTCAAATGATACCTGAAACTGGCTGGGCAACTAAATGTACATTGTTAAGGCGGATAATGACTTCAGTGAGGGTATGGTTCCAGATAATTGAGCGAGTGAATCTGTGATTTATTTACTTCACTACTGCTCCTCACCATTAAGTCAAAATACAATAACATACCGTAGACACGTGAACGAAAACGTAGAAAAGTTGAAGTCAGGGATAGAAATCGGCGCTAGCAAAAGCATATACACATAACTATATTGTTTTTTCCTTTATTGTCATTTTTGCACTTGTTTTGCTTTGTTATTTTCCCGATAGAGTAATTTCATCCTTTCTGGTCTAACGGAAAGGAACTACCGAGTTCTTCACCGTTGAGCCACAAATAGCTAAAAGGAATCTATCGCAATGGGTCGACGCACTTGCAAAGTTGGCCAAAAAAGTCTGGCGTTTCTCCACCGGTCTAAGACCTTTACCAGGGGAAAGTTTCTTATCTGCGACCTACAAGGTGAGGGACACAACTTTGATCAGTGAATGCAATCGATCTTTGTCATTAGCTATTTTTTGTTTGTTTGTTTGTGTTTTAATTTCGTTTTTCAGGTACAGTCATTCTGTTATTAACGTTACCTTTACTTGGGACCCATTTTAGAGTAAACGACACTTTTACATGTTGGATCCACGCTTCTTAGGGACAGACGATGCGCTCAAAGACCTCCGAGTGGCGTCCTTGAACACGGGGTAAGTTCACGGCATTTATCGTTGCATGAGGGTTAAATAATTTGGAAATTCACATAACTTCATTCAAAATTATGTCTTCACAGGTTGTTTGGTGTTGGAAACCTGGACGGAGACGTATTCAAAACTTTTCAGGTTTCGCACAATTGCAATNATCACCCAACGAACGCGACATTCAATGCGCTGAATTTCTTTGCAGTGAACCCAGGACGCCATTATATGAACACCGGAGATGAAACCCTCGGGGAGAGGGGCAAAGACCGAGATTCGTCGCCTGCGCATGCGGCAGGCGTTAAACGGTGGCGGGGCAGGCAAAGCGCCTTCTTCCTCGCGTTTTTTGCCTCCCTGTCCCTACCCCGTTTACGCCTGCAACGCAAGCTAAGGTTTGAATGTGCGCTGGCCATCCACATTTTCACAATTTGTTACTTATTAATTTTTGCATATATTACTCATTGCGACATTTGGCCCATGTGATATCGGGTGACATCGAAATCTTTGGGACAGAAAATTGCCATTCTTTGCCAAAGTCTTATTTTATTTCTTATTGTACATGTGCAATATCTTATGTACTGTTGATAACAAGCTGGAGTTGTTTTGCTGAGCTTTAGGCATGGTATATTTATATATCATGGCGACAGTGACTAAGTGTGAACCTTCGGCCAGAGTTCGGGAAAAGAACGGGCCGAAGACTAGGTTAGTTTGGCAGCGCATGCTTTGAATGATAAATGAACCGCCAAATTTAAATTATGGCATAACTTTGCTTCATTGTTACATGTATTTGGCGAGGGTTTGCAGCGATGGTGGCATGGCAGAATGACTTCAAATGTTTTGTGTTTTTATTCTTTTCGTTTCCTTCGCTTGGTGCGTGACGGTAACTACAGCGGGAGATCATTTTCAGGGGGACAATAGTGAATGCAAACGAGAAACTCAGATCAGTCGACAGAATTTTCCCTCGTTTACCGTGTGAGATCAGCAAGTAAGTAAAATTATTAATATTTAATTATATTTTGGAGCAGTCTATTTCCGAAATTGAATAATATAAGGATAACACAGAAACCTAATGTCTTGCTTTGAGGGCGATGTATTTAATTTCCTGATGATATGCATCCCCTTTGCATAGGAGATCTGTAGACCCTGTGTGAAGTGTGTTGAGGCGCGCGAGTGGGGCGGAGGGGGGGAGGGACTGCAGCGGCCGTTTGAAGTGTAGTCAGTAGGGAGAACGACATCGGGGGGTTCTAAATATCGCAACACCGCAAAAAAAACTAACGAACACCGCATCACCGCAAGAAAAGTCAACGAAACACCGTCACCGCCACACGTATTTTTTGCGCTGTGATTCGTTCATCTACACTTTAAATAATACTTTTATAACTCAACAATTTTCCACAAAATAAACACATTGTTTCTGTCCTCGCTCCTCCACGTGTCTACCGAACACTGAGCTCCGGGTGGTAGAGGTCGAGTTACTTGTCAAGTTACGTATAAATGAAAACAACTTCGGATTGGCAGCCGAAGGATATTGAAGATTGAGTAGAAAGTGATGGTCTTTACTTTTTACTGAAAAAATTATTTACCTCAATGGTACGTGTTTGTCATAAATTAGCATCGATTAACGAAGTTTACATGCTAAATTTAGGTCAGATTTAGGTTTGAGAAAGGTAGATCAAAAAATCCCAGCACCGCAAACAATTTCATTTCACCGAACACCGCAGACTGAAAAACACAAACATTGCACACCGTAGGGTTTGAGATCACCGCAACACCGCAAGTTGAGATTTTATTCACCGCATCACCGCATTAAAAGAATATCAACACCGCAACACCGCAAATCCCCATGTCCCCCTCAGTAGTAGGGGGTTTGGAGAAAGGAATGCCGCCAAGGGGCTTGATACGTTGACCCTGCGAAAGCAATTTTAATAGAAAACCTCAGAAGAACTTCGTGAGTAGGATAACACCCTTTATTCCGGGATCGAGTCTAGGACAAAGGACTGCGTGGAATAACAGGACGGTGACAATTCTAACTCTTCCTTGTTTAGGACAGGTTCAGAAGAGGCCAAAACTATTGGATCAGTCTCTCTGTTTGCTCTAAAATCAAGAACACGGAACGAAAAATTACGATATTCGAGGGGCGTGCAGGAAAGGCGCGAGCAGCAGCGTCATGCTTCGCGTGTTGCGTTACTCGCCCCTGGATTATAGTGTTCGTTCTCTTAGTTCTTGTCTTCCCCCTTGATTTTAGACATTTTAGGGCAAAACCCATATTCTGCCAGTTGGTATGTCCTCGTATAATGCTTCCCCACTCTTACCCGAGATATATATACAAATTTTCTGTACTGTCTAACTAATTTCGTTTCTGATTAACTTTATTAAGTTCAATCAAACCTGTGCGTGTTGAGAATTGTCCCGGTTGTTGTAAACTGAACGGTAAAACATTCAAGTGGTACGAAAGCGAATGAGAGGAATAGTAGCATATAGATTCGTGTGATTAGAAAGCTCATCGACCATCGAAGCTAATTAGATGCAGCTTGTCCTGTTTTACAGTATCGAGTTAGTAAAGCTGCTTGTGGTAACAGAAGGCTGGCGAGAAATTCGAAGACATGCCAGGACAAAAATACAAAGGCAAGTCAAGTTCAAACTCCTTAGCGTAATGTAGATATTTAGTCATCGTTTGGGTTTAGGTGTAGTGCCTGTAAAACGATATTGTTTTCTCTAACAGTGATTGGTTTATGTCTAGACTCAGAAGCATATCACCTTCTGCTAGACTGTATAGCTTCTTCCGGTTGTCATGTCGCTCTATTCCCTTTCGAGTCGTTGTTTTTTATAAATCTTCCCATTTATGTTGTTCTCCGGAAATCTCAGTAGCAAATGTACAATGCTTAAAGAAAGGAAAATCGGAGCGATAAACGGTCGCCTCTCGGTTACAATCCTATGCATCGTCCGGGGCCAGTCAATACCCAGTATGAGCGACTCTCTTATGGCAATCCGTTGGGGCTGTCTGCAATGAACCAGCATCCCAAATGTGGGGGTAGGGGGTGACGGGGGAATCCCCCTTGGTGGTAAGCATACGGAAATCGCTGGACTCGATTGTCAACTAGGTTTCGAATAAGTGGTGATTTTTCACCGTCTGATCGACATATGGCTGGTTTTTTCAAACTCCCGCTCACTTTAAATGATAGATAGAATACTTCCTAAAGATTCAAATATCATCAATGCCGTTAAAACAGGCGAGATATCAGTGAACTTAACAGCCCCTACGGCTGTGCGTACAGGTCTCTGCTTATATCAACAAATTACAGTCTTGGACGCGGTTTAATTAATTTCGATTGATCTACCATCCAAAGTGAATTCAACAGTTGGGTTTATTTCACGCATTTTCTCAGTTTGAGTAAGAATCGTTTCAGTTCAGAGCCACCTTAAATTTTCGAAAATTTAAGGTGGCTCTGAACCTCACCTACAGAATGTTTTTAAACTATTCCAAAAATTCCATCTTATCTCGCTTATGAAAGTGTTGATAATTTGAAAAAAATTTCACCGTACCGTTTTTGAATTAAAACGGCCCCTAAAGCTGTATCTAAGGGTGTTTTTAGCAGGTCATGCTGTTGCTATGGTAACCTATTGTGTTACGAAAATGATAACAACGTGTTCACCAATGGTTGGGCAGTTTTTTGATACATGATTGTAGCATCAAGTGATAAAGAGTGGTTATAACGACCCATCAAAATCTAAGTGCTCCCGAAGTGCTGGAAACTGTTTCGAGCCTCCTTAACATATTTTATTTTTTGCTAAGTTGTTGTCCATGTGAACTAGATCGAATGATGTCTATTTCGTATCCGGGGGGGTATTCCGAGCAAAATTGGGTAGGGGTGTGCGGCCCGTTTCCCAAAATCGCGATTTTCGATACTCTATTTATGACCTGACCCAAAATCTATATCCTGTTTCAGACCTGTCTTATACTTAGTTCCCTAGTTCAGACCGATGTTAAAGGCATTATGAAGGGCCTTTGTTGGTCGGTCTTATCGATAGTGGTATAAAAGTAGCTTCTTCTAAAAAAAAAATGCCTTATTCAAGACTAGAGTACAAAAATCAGACCCTATTAATGATCAAAATGTCCAAACCTGATACTCTATCTTGACCAAAACGGCTGAAAAACGATCATATCCCTATTATCTGACGGGCCCGTTTCTCTGGAGTACCCAGTGTCTAAACACAACACTATTTTGCGCCAATGCCCTAGCCTGATACGACCCGTGAAAGCCTTACAAATAGCGGGGAGCATAGTTGCGGTTGGAATGGATTAGTCTGTTTCGTAAAATGGGAATCACTGGCGATGTTGAAACCCATGTATTCCTTTTTCTTTTAGTGGGAAAGATTTTTCGCTACACCACCAAAGGCGTTACAGGGTTTGGCGAATTTTCAAGGTATAAACTTAAATGCGTTTTAAAGAGTTGTTTGTTACGAACACACTGTGCTCTCCATCCGACCGATTTTGGCTAATTTCTCCTGGCAATTTTGTAATTACTTCGTGTTGCAAAAAAGTACTTTTTTCAAATGATACCTGAAACTGGCTGGGCAACTAAATGTACATTGTTAAGGCGGATAATGACTTCAGTGAGGGTATGGTTCCAGATAATTGAGCGAGTGAATCTGTGATTTATTTACTTCACTACTGCTCCTCACCATTAAGTCAAAATACAATAACATACCGTAGACACGTGAACGAAAACGTAGAAAAGTTGAAGTCAGGGATAGAAATCGGCGCTAGCAAAAGCATATACACATAACTATATTGTTTTTTCCTTTATTGTCATTTTTGCACTTGTTTTGCTTTGTTATTTTCCCGATAGAGTAATTTCATCCTTTCTGGTCTAACGGAAAGGAACTACCGAGTTCTTCACCGTTGAGCCACAAATAGCTAAAAGGAATCTATCGCAATGGGTCGACGCACTTGCAAAGTTGGCCAAAAAAGTCTGGCGTTTCTCCACCGGTCTAAGACCTTTACCAGGGGAAAGTTTCTTATCTGCGACCTACAAGGTGAGGGACACAACTTTGATCAGTGAATGCAATCGATCTTTGTCATTAGCTATTTTTTGTTTGTTTGTTTGTGTTTTAATTTCGTTTTTCAGGTACAGTCATTCTGTTATTAACGTTACCTTTACTTGGGACCCATTTTAGAGTAAACGACACTTTTACATGTTGGATCCACGCTTCTTAGGGACAGACGATGCGCTCAAAGACCTCCGAGTGGCGTCCTTGAACACGGGGTAAGTTCACGGCATTTATCGTTGCATGAGGGTTAAATAATTTGGAAATTCACATAACTTCATTCAAAATTATGTCTTCACAGGTTGTTTGGTGTTGGAAACCTGGACGGAGACGTATTCAAAACTTTTCAGGTTTCGCACAATTGCAATCTCTATTGCAAACTCCTGACTATCGACCGCAAGGAAGATAGATTCCACTCTTTGGATTATTCTTTGAATTACCTGGTCAAAGGTTGCTCCCGAGAAAGGGCAGATTGTTATTATTTGGATTATTTTAAACAATGAAATTGAATGTTCTCTAACTAACATGTAAATTATCGTATATCAGTTATATCCTTAGAGAACTAAATAGCTTGCGTAGCTTGGTGGTTTAAGCAATTTGAGCGCGCGTTCCTGGCGGCGTCGCTGCTCTTTTTCGCGGCTTCGCAGCTATGCGCGCGCGCTCAAATTTAAACCGCCAAGCTACGCAGGCTAACAACTAAAAGGACTCATTATCACTTTTGCTCTTTTTAGACTTCTTTTTTGTTTCATTTAAAAGTACCTTTTTATTTCTTTCCAGTTATTTGTCACGACCACGAAATTGCTGTGCAGCGGAAAATGAGCATCGCAGCTGAAGACTTGGTGGTTAATTCATATGCTGGTAAGAATGTTAACACTCTTTTTTTGTATAATCTAAACTAAGTGACTTTACGTGCTTAGTTTACACGTACTATGAAAACGTTTGTCTGCATAAACGATCGTAATTTCCCCTGCGCTACATCCGCAAAAATCCTCGCAGCATGTACGCGCTTGATGTGCCGCACGCGATGGCGCAATTTGTTCTAAAAATACCAAAATTGTCCCATATCATAGGGACAGCCCTAATACTTGAAATTTCCTTTAAGATGTATAAATGGAAAACCAACATTTCTAACTATCCAAAATTTTCCGGGCGCGTGCTTTGCCGGAGGATCGATTTTTGGCTCTGAATCTCTCTATCTCATTTTTTTGAAAAACGACTGACAATCAAACCCTAGTCTGTACAAAGAACTTCTATGTTGTCTTGAGTTGGTCGAGATCGAAAGCTTAGCAAAACATTAAACCGGCGCGTGGGACATGAACAAGCCAAAACGCAAGGGGTGGGGCTGAGAAGAGACAAAAACATGTTTTCGTCCGCTTTTCCGTGGCTCTCGCGCTCTACGAAAAAAACACACATTGCAAACCCAAGCTTTGCATCGCTTCTGGAAAAGCAACTACGCGTGCAAGTATTATGCAAAAATTCCTCCTGCTTTTGCAAATTACGTAATTAGGTAGGTTAGACGCGCGCGCAGTTATAATTAGTCAGTGACATCATACTTGCCATGCGCGCGTGTACGCTAACTGACACAAGACGCAACAATTCAGTAACTGCCGCAAAGACGAGAAGGTTGTTTACAGCTAACCAAGGAGAATTTTGACATTATTATCAGCTGTTGAGTTCCTGAGAAAAGTGATCATGGAATCTCCCCGGGAGAAAAGACCAGTACAGTCAGCTGTGTTTACCATACAAGATGGAAAAAATGCTGCCGCAAGATTGCAACGGCAAATCAACGATCTTGAAGAACGACTTAAGAAATACTTCCAACGTTTAGATGAACTAGAAAAGTTCTGCGAGAGAACGCAAAACAGATTTGAAGATACCCAAAGACGAATAAGAGAAGAATACGAGTTGATTGAGAAAGAACACGCCAAGAGAAAAATTGATCGTACTGCGACTCGCAAACGGATAAACGAAAAGGTTGAGAGAAGGAACGAGAAGGCAGCGCAGTCCATGGACGAAAACGACCAAAATGTGTCAGGAAATGTTTTAAAACAAACAGTAACAGCTTCTGCGGAACTTAAAGACATTAACAGTTTTGAAGTACGATGAAGTGTATTGTTAGATATGTAAGAATAGGTTTCTGTCTGTTAGTTATGATGAAAACTTTGTTAATCTTGGTAGTCCGTAAGACCTATAAAGGAAGCAAATTAGAAGTACTGGAATAAATTTTTGTACAACTAGCGTGAAATACGTGCTGAAACCTGCTGAATACAAAATACCTTTGCAAACAGCTGAATTCACCTTAGAAGACTCGGTGAACAAGAAAACTGCACGATCATCAGAATTGCTGCAAAGCATAATCAAAGGAACCTATGAAACCACGGCTAGTAGGTCAACTTACTGCAATTTGTTAAATTTGTATTTTTATTTTGTTTTATTGTTTTCAGAAGGGCTTGTTGGAATGAAAAAAATTGCAAAAAATGGAAAAAATACTGACGTGACAATAGTTCAGTGAAAATCGCAAACGAACAAAAAAATATTCTCCAATCTCAGCAAAAAGCGCTACAGATCAATCACGCACATGAAAAATTTCTCGTGTCAGCTGGCGAGTGAACTTTGTTGCTGCTGTTTAGTCTTCCTCTCACCTTTCTTGCCGTTTATGTTTGCAACTTTTCATTGCTTGGCGAAATACAACAATTGTTACCTGTATGTTCGGTGGTTTTCCCACCGGAGACTCACAGAGAAAACATCAAACCATGGGTTTCACCGGAAGCAATTACAAGTGAATGGTAGGTGCTTAAAGTCAGGCCAAAAGGCACATGAGCCATGCAGAGCTTATCCCGGTTTCTATATAGCATGAAGCGACTAGTAATATTTCTACTCTCCCGCCCCCCC